TTTTCACAGGCAGCATCAATTTGTTACGGATTTGTAAAGCAGGAGAAAATTCAAGGGCTAATAGACAGATTTTATCTTCTCTATCGCCACTAAGGATAAGATTCGGTCAGAATTTTGTGGATGGACTTACTCCACTTATTTTGCAACAATTTTGTATCATCCAAACGGCAAATTTGCTCTTGTTGTTTTAATCTCGTGAGTAAACGTAAAGAAAGGGCGGATCTTTTCTTCTCACTCTGTCTTATGAAAGTGCTGAACAACATGCAAATGGTCGGTGGTAGTAGAAAAAGGATTTGCGCATCATAAATCTCTCCTACTTAATTCATGTGTTTGAACAATGTTAGTAAGTTGCCCTTAATTTCTCAGAATCTGAATTTATTTCATCAGCTTTGATTGAGATTATGGTCAGTATTTGGAACGATGTTTTTACCATAGATGTTCAGACCACTTAAGGACAGGGTTTCGTTAATGCCACTTCTAGGGCCTAATGTCATGACATTGACATTTAGTGACAATAACCGACATTAAGTAACATTAAGTGACAATAACCGACATTAAGTGACATTACGTGACAAGTGCCATTAAACCAAACATTGGGGTAAAATGAGAAGGAAATCAGCGCGGATGAGATTTTCCGTCCCAGCTGGTTTTGCTCAAGGCAAATTTTTTTGAAAATTTAAATTGGAAAGTTATTTTCGGGGGACGCAGATTAGAAAGGTAAAACTTATCTTATAATAATGGAATTAACTATTGGATATGGAATACTATTGGTATTGCGTTGCGCCTGTGTCAATTTGTACCTCGCCAATTATATACACGAACTTATGTACATTTATTTTCACTGTTTATTTTTATTTAAAGGTACTAATGGATCACAATAAGAAGTTGTTGCATCAATCCACGAAGTTTAAGTTACTCCTATTTAAGTTCTTCTATATTCTATCGCGTACTTCTATCTCACTTTCCCCAATTTATGACTTGATGTCACTTGTCACTTAATGTCACTAAATGTCAAGTTATAACAACCGGTTATTGTCACTTAATTTCAGTCACTTAATGTCACCTGTCAATGTCACCCGAAACCTTGCTTAAGGATTCCAGAAATGGTGTGGATTGTGGTCAAAAATTTGGCGTGGATTGTGGTATGTGGTCATGGGGCACTTTGTGGATTGTGGTTGCGTGGTCTATGTATGACTGTACACATGCTACCATCTGGAGACAAGTTGTAAATGGTTGAAGCGGTAGGATTGTATTGCATTGTACCTCGGCCGGATACAATCTCGTAAAAAAATATTTTTAGTATAATTTTGCACCCTTTTGGCAAAACCGGGTTTCGGTTTTATCGCTGCCAAAAACAGGGTTTTAACCGGTATTTTGGAAACGACTCGAAAACGTCTAAAAATTACATAACATTGCCACAAATTGTTATTGTTATTCAGCAATTTCAAATACCGGAGTTTCCACATTTGTTTGACATAAAAAAATTACTTGGCTAAAAAAACAAATCAATATAAAAACACTTATAATATTATTTAACTAAGCCAGGTTAGGAGATCATCTCATGAAATTTCCCTATTATCCTGAAATTATAGTGTTAAAATTAAAAGTATAATTAATTAAGCTTACAATCAGTGGGACTGTTTATATATTAACCATGTATCAAATTTGATTTTAATGCAATTTTTTAACATGTTTAGAAATAATTTGATCACCCTATTTCTATAATACATATAGCTATCACATCACAATTGCATAACACCCACCTAAGTCTTGTTTGTTGAACTTTAGGTCTCACAATGGAGGTCTCCCAACGTTTGCTCCGAGATTTGGACGAAACTAGTGTCAGTCGATCACAAATTTAATTAGTATGAAATTTGCAAATGCAACTATCTGCAAATGCGCAGGTTTGGCGGAGATATTTGCATAAAAAGAGGTGAAAACTCGCAAATTTGTGAGGCAAAATTCGAAAAGTGTAAAATTGATGGCATTTTGGGCGCGTTTTCGCCTCTGTTTATGCAAATATCTCCGCCAAACCTGCGCATTTGCAGATAGTTGTATTTGCAAATTTCATACTAATTTAATTTGTGATCAATTGACACCAGTTTCGTCCAAATCTGCGAGCATACGTTGGGAGACCTCCATTGTCAGTTATCTATTGTAAATAATTATGAACATTTTTTATTTCACTGTTAAGTTATTGCAATCCTTCTAAATTGATTTTTTGTACTATGATTTGGAAATTTTGACTTTACTTGAAAAAGCATAACCAACGTAAACGTAGTGTTCCGACTGTAATGATCACGGCCCTGTGATTTAATGTGATTATTGTAATTTGCGACTTTAATGTGTGATGTGATTTATGTGATTTATTGTAACTGTAATAGTCGCCATCACAATAAATCATAGTGTGAGCACAAACACTGGTTAAACTCCTTTCCCATATACGGAATATATAATGTTTGACATAATCCTCCAACTTTCGGGGTAAGCACAAATTTAAGGTAAATTTAGTGAAAATCAATTCATAGATTTTTCTAAAATACAAAGAACCCGTTCCATGACACGAAAATTGAATCAGTCAATAAAACAATCAAGAATATTTGTGAACTTTGAATTTCTTACAATTTTGAGACCTTATAAATCTTTGGGGAAAATTGAGAAAAACAGGTTTTTGTCCTAGTGAAAACCGGGTTTCGGTTAAACCGAAAACCGGGTTTTCAAAACCGGTTTTTAAAAACCGAAAAAACATGTGTTGAATCCCCTAATCGCAGCATAATTCGTGAAGTTTACGAAATTTCGCATCTATCTATAAGGCTTGTTTATACTTCACAAAATGACTTGGAAAAACAAGATTACCAGAATCAAAGGAAAACATCATCGAAACAGTAGCATTTTGACGGTATAAATAAAGTCTAATTGTCGAAAATCAAATGGACTCAATACCGCATATCTAAAAATGTTGCTACTTTGCTATGTAAACTTTTGACATGAATACGCACAATAAAGTGCGGCAGAGCCCGATACATGGGTAGCGCAATAATGCTGAGAATTGATTTGCGCAATTAATTAATTGAATTAATAAATTGATTAATTAATTAATTAATTAATTAATGATTAATTCATTAATTCATTAGAATTAATTAATTGATCACACCGCGACCGCACCCCCTGGCGCCGAGGGGGTGTGGCACAACTCAGATACACGTAATTTAACTGGATTTCATCCATAGATTAATTTGCGCTATAAATCTCATTGTGGTCCAAAAGTTTCGGGGATCCTCCCCCTGGTGTCATGTGTATGATGCCGCAAACCGATTTTGATTGTCTTGATGCGTTCTCGAGTTATAGTGTTGACGGACAGACAGACAGACAGACAGACAGACGGATGGACAGACTAACTAACCGATCGCATAAAGTAGCTTGGGCTACTTAATAAAAATTATTTAGGGTTTAGTAAAATGAACTAAATAATTGTATCCGGAATAAACACAATACAAATGCTGCCCGAAATTCTGATTCTGTCCTTTTCAAAACGAACTTCCTCCCTTGCCGATCGACTAGGCTGGTTGTCTTTCACCTTTGACGTAGAAAACCAAATTCAGGTCAAGTCAAGTCAACCTTTATTCAAGTGTTGATAGATATCAGGTTACAAAAGTGGTTTGAAATCCATGACACAATTTAACTAATAAAATGGATAATATATTTTCCTATGCTAAGGTTAAGTAATTGTAACTTACTACATGTCGTCGGCTTAGTGAGTAATCCAGCTAAGTCCAAAACCCGTCAAAATGAAATCCAGTCAAGTCCACCTATTTTGTACAGGACTTGACTGGATTTCTTTTTGATGCAATTTGCACTTAGCTGGATTACTCACTAAGCCGACGATGTGGAATAATTCACCTCTTTTACCTAAAATGACATCACAGCAAGCTTTATCATAGCATTTGTATGTCATTTTTGGTTCCCAATCTCTTGGAAGTTTGTTCCATTAAATAGTTGCCCGGTAATTAATACATTTCTGGCCGAATTTAAGTGTAGGGACGTTAAGCAGGGGCCAGGTGGGCCTATTGGCAGACGAGCTTTTGTGATCCGATAATTTAACAAAGGCATATTTGTATAAAAATAGGTCTCGGCATTCTCTAAGCGTTAGTAAGTTACATTTTATTAACAGGTCTTTAATGTTAATTGAGGCTTTGTTAAATTTGAGCCTACTTTTTTTCCTGTGTCGCATTTTTTTGACGAGTGAAGGGAGAAAGTAATTAGCTAGGAAGGTGCTGATTTTTGACTGAATAGCGTCAAGCTGGGCATCGGTGTGCACTGCCCAAACGTCAACACAATAATCGATAATTGCGTATATGACTATTTATCATGATTGACATAACTTTATCTGTGAGGTGACGCTTAACGCAGTACAAGAACCCTAGGCTATTGGACATTTTTTTGATACAACATCGCAATGTTCTTGGAAATTCAAAGCTGAATCTAATACTACGCCTAGCTACTTAAACAGGACGGTCCACAATGTTTGACCGTCTCACCTTCTCCGTCTACCTGGTCCACCTCCTTCATCAAGCAGTTAAAATTACTAAGAATGCAATGACGTCACGTGTTGCACTCCGATCTTATATGGAATGGAGCTTTAATCTCAATGTCAGATTGAAACTTTTTGTTCTGTTTTTGTGAGTGATTCTGGCATTGTGTGAAGCTTATCCGTGGCATTGATTGATTCCGTAAATTGGGATAAGTTCCATAAAGCGTTGAAGAGTTAATTTATGACATGCATTCAATGCATGCAAACAGGCAAGAGGACTTGTGATCCAGTTGGCCTGTTTCCTCGGTACAACTGCATGGTTGTTTACTAAAATAAAAATTATCAGATTAATAAAGTCTTTAATCTGATCGATTAATTATAGTTTGGACAGGTTGGTTCTAAACTCAATTTGTCGCGAGATATGATACTGAAGGGAATGTTGGGACAGAGAGAGACGTGGATTTGCACCCGAAGCAGGGAAGTGTGCAAAATTCTAAGAATAGCAACAACTAGTGAATAAAACCAGCGTGCGATATTGGCGAGCCTCGCCCATTTTTGATAAGCTGGTTACTTAGTGGCACAAACTCTGCACCCATTTCAAGACAAGTTTTAGAAATTATATATACGCTGATTTTTAGATGGCTGTTATTAACAAATTATTGGCTTTTACTTTGATTTTTGTAAGATATTAGATATTTTGCATCCATTATCAAAGTCAGATATATACATATTAATCCGTCTTTCATATTTGACAAGATTTCTACGGTGAAATGCCAAGATCAGTCTGTCTATCAATATTTTGCTGACACTGCTAATCTTACCGGGCTAGTAGCCGAAAACCAAGAATTTAGGCTGAATGGAAAGTACATCCGAATAATTAGTGGAGCAATCCATTACTTCCGGGTCCATCCCGACTTGTGGAGAGACAGACTACGAAAGCTGAGGGCAACGGGAGCCAACACTGTGGAAAGCTATGTACCCTGGAATCTTCACGAACCTCGGAAGGGAGAATTTGATTTTGGTAATGGAAGCAACGATTTCTCAATATTTTTAGATGTGCAACGCTTCCTACGTACCGCTCAGGAAGAGGATCTCTTAGTAATCATCCGACCTGGGCCTTACATATGTGCAGAATGGGAATATGGAGGTCCGTGTTTCTCTTGGAAGTTTGCCGTTACATGTTTTTGATAATGTGTGATTTGCAGGCTACCCATCTTGGCTTCAGAGGGATCCCGATATGCAAATCAGATCGGAGGGTCAACCTTATTTGGATCGAGTCAAAATATTTTTAGATGCTTTCGTCCCACAAATTTCTGATTTTAAATTTACGAATGGAGGTTGCATTATTGCTGCTCAGGTTGAAAATTTACCCGGTTAGATACCTGAAAGAAAATTCTAATCTACCCGTTTTTTTGTTCTTAGATTGAAAATGAATACGGCTCATTTAATCCAAAATCCACCCATTATCTTGAAACAATTCGCCAAGGATTCCTTGACAATGGTTTGGATTGTTTACATTTTACATGTGACAATCATTTCAATGAGGGGAGCGGTGGATCGCTTCCTGGATTATTGCAAACAGCTAACTTTAAGGAAAATCCTGACCAAATTTTGGGAGACCTCTTACGTGTTCAGCCGGACAAACCTATCATGGTTATGGAATTCTGGACAGGATGGTTTACCAATTGGTTTGATGAACGCAGAGGAGGCTCTGATCCTTCTCGTAGGAAGTTTTTTATGTACTTATTTATTTAATATATTTCTAATCATTACACTGTATTTAGAATTTCGACAAGTTCTGGAAACAATCTTCTCCACCTACAACGGCTCAGTCAACTTTTACATGTTGGTATTTTCATCTACTTTTTTGCCCTAACCTACACCGTTCGGTTAATAATTTTTTTTATATTTTTCAATAATACATGTTCCACGGTGGAACTAATTTCGGCTTCACGGCTGGAGGTGGTGATGTTGGTGACATTGGTGCTCCAGATGCTTATGCTGTAGCTGATATTACAAGCTATGGTATAGTGTTCAGGCATAAATACTGTAGTAAAGTTCCTTGCAATTAACCGCCCACCAACTTGGCTTACAGATTACGACGCTCCATTGACTGAAGCTGGGGATTACACAGTGAAATACGAATTTGCTGCTGAGCTGATTTCCCAATACGAAAACCCAAAATTGAGGAGGCCATTAAGACCAATCCAAAGTCAAAAGACCGCTTATCCGACTCTACAATTGCAACGATATTTAAACTATACCGATATTATAATGGAAATCCCTTCCAGTCACAAAATTCTACAGGACAAACCTGTCTCAATGGAGCTTCTGCCAATAAACAATGGTAATGGGCAGACTTTTGGATACATCATTTACAGAAAAGTAGCCAATTTTAGCCCTGGTGACCGGTACAAGGTTAGTTTTTGCATAATTGAAATATTTCAAAATAATATAAAGTTCGCTTATACGAAATACGAAGGTTTCAAGACCAAAAGACCTCGCAGAACTATTGATAGATGGTGAACTGGTCGATACTGGATTTACCAACGCACAGCCTCAATACTGGTTCAACGACATTCATGATATTGCCTTGAACGTATCCAGCGGTGAGCACACAATCGATTTGTTTGTGGATGTCATCGCCCGAACAAATTGGGGAGGTCGTTGGGAACATTTCAACCAACAGAAAGGTCTACCGGAGATTACTGGGTCAAAAATTGAAATTAATAACATAGAGATTCAAGGAGTCGAAATCATTGCATTGGAATTTACCCAGGCATGGGTCAATGGGTCAGTGGTAAATACCCGAAACAACAAAGTCGGCACACATTCGTTGCGAATTCTCACCGAAATGTCTCCAGATTTGTATGTAGTGAAGTCGCAGTATTTTCGAATTCACTACGAATCTGGGATCATTGCGGTGAGAAATCGTAACGAATGTGTATAGATTTTTTTGTTCTGCTATCTCGCTAGAGGTAAAACCTAGGTTCGAAATTTATTATGAAAATTAATGTTTTTGGTGTTATTTATAGGCTGGAAAACTGGAAAACCGTGGAAGACGACCCAGCAGCCCTAAAAGGTCCATGTCTTGTTCAATCGTCCTTCACAATTCCTACAACTCCGACTGATACTTTTCTCAATATGAGTGGCTGGCACAAAGGTGTCGTATTTGTGAATGGCTTCAATGTTGGACGGTACTGGAAGGTCGGGCCACAGCAAAATTTGTATGTCCCGGCTCCACTTTTAAACACTGGAATCAATACGGTGAGATCGAAATCATATCAACTTATTTACATATTTATATGAACAAATCTAGAGTTGGTAATAATCAATTGTAAAATTTATAGATCATCGTTTTTGAGCAGTTTGAGCCCAGTGATAGCATTGTATTTTCAAACATACCGAACTTAGGTCCTCCTTTTTTGCCATGAGGTGGATAATTTGGTCAAGGGAAAAATGTTAGCTTAATTGTTTAAATATTATAATTAGCTAAATGATAAATAAAGATGATATATATAAATTATTGAATTATTTTAAAGCTACTTTTATCGTGATATATCTATTTTATTTTTTGTTCAGTGGTAACGCCTGGGCACTTTTTAGTACCTATATATACCATCGAATCGTGTTTTTTCGGCTTCGGTCGATTTTCATGTATGATAGCTTAAAATTTGCGTAATTTTGTGTACATGAAGAATCCGTAATAATATTGGGGGCGCGCATTGATGGACTATGCGCTACGAGCCAAAATGTGCGAATTTTTTGCAAATTTTGAGAAATTTGATTTTTGTCACAAAATCGCCAAAATTGAGTCTAATATAGCTGGAAATAATTTTGAAAATTATTTTGGACCAGAATTTGGCCACTGCCTCGATTACGGACCCCAATTTCCTAATTGGTGGAATTTTTTAAAACTAGTGGAAGCGTTATTAACAACCTTTCGAATTATTAACGACTTTTTGAATGATTAACTAAATTTCAAGTACATTAAGTTGACGGATTATTAACAAAATTTCGCTCTTTTTACAAAATTTCGAATCAAAGTACTTATATGCTTAACGGATTCGATTTAACAACGTTTATTTATTAGGTGCACAGCAAGGTAGCGAACTATGCTAATACCTAACGTGAATTATTCACGGTGAATATAACGTACCGGATTTCATAATATGTTAATACCAATCCCTAAATTCCATGTTTCGATGGTGGAAAAATTAATATGGATATTGTAATTATTTTTAAAAACTCAGCCAATTAGAAACTTGGGGTCCGTAATCGAGGCAGTGGCCAAATTCTGGTGCAAAATAATTTTTTATATTATTTCCGGTGGTATTTGACCCAATTTTGACGATTTTGTTACAAAAATTAAACTTCGCCAAAAATTTGAACATTTTGGCTCGTAGCGCAAAAACTGGCCAAGCGCCCCCCAATATTATTTCAGATTCTTAATCTACACAAAATTACGCAAATTTTAAGCCATCATACATCAAAATCGATAGAGCGCGAAAAAAATACAATCAGATGGTATACATGTATTCTAATAATAATTGCATTTTCGATATTAATTAGTACACGATCGAAACATGGAATTTATTATACGTTATTACCGCATTCTTCAATGATAATTACTACTCACTAATTACTGAAAATATATTTCAGTAATATCAGATTTAAATTTTAGTTACATTGCAAGTGCGCCATATTTATTACATAATATACAGATTTAAATTTGGTGTGTGTCAAGAAAAGCTACATGAAAAATTAAAAAAGACAGTTTATATAAACCGTTGTAAACGAAATGTAACAAAGGGGTGAAGCGACACGGTCGCACGGTCATCGTACGTCAAAATGATGTCAATTTGTGAAATCCCCGCCCAAAAAAATGATGTCGATTTTTGAAATTGGCGCCCAAAATACGTGTAAATCGGCAAAACAACAAATTTCAACATCCTTGGCGTGATCACTGTCGCGCGATGACCTTATGACTTACAACGCCCATCTTCGAACTCATCCGTACTTCCAAAATTAGAAACACATTGACGAAAACCGCATGCCGAAATTCGCATCCGTCCTAAAGTTATCGTTGAGATGGACAGACAGACGAACGGACAGAGAGACATTCCCATAATGGGATTTCGTTTCGCATAATCCCTTAGTAAAGTAGTTTGCAGGGAATTATGCATACGGTTTTGTTGGTTAGCTATAGGATCCGCATTTTCTAATCGGCTAGATCTTTCAGAATTTGTTTGGTTTCATTGACATAATTTCTTGGATTTGAGGAGAGATAAACAAGATGAGCTGCTGTCAATTTGAGCATGGGGTAACTGATGACGACTGTTTAATAAATAATTCAAAATTTTGTTAACTGGAGACATTGTTAATAGGCCATAAGACCTATGGAATAATATTTGGCCACTGCCTTGAATTTAGATACCCTATTGACAAATTTGAATAAAAAATATTGTAAGGTACCGCTTGAGTCGATTCGAGTATCGAACTGATATCAATGTTTGTGATTGTAGGAATGAGAATTGAGTCGCATTTTTCCCCGTAGTTTTAAGTGTCGCGGTGCAGCGATTGCATCATCTTTCTTGTCGTCGTAGTTGAAAGAAAGGAGAATTAAGTAAGAGTTGTAAGTAAGATTTTGAGGAGAGTAGTCAAGTTATTGAGCTTTCAATTAATTGTCATAACTATTCGTATAATTAAAATAAAGTAAGATAGTTTGTGTGAAGTCCCGTCCTCAGGACTTCAACAGTGACCCCACTTCTTCGGCTTTGGAGGTGGCGGAAGAGGTGCAGATGAGAAAGATGAGACGAGACAATTGTATGTATTGTCGTCGTCGTAGTACGTAATAATTTTGGTGTGTGTATAGAACTTGGACTTTTTGGTTAGAGAGAGGTTTTATTACACAGCATCCAGAACTCCGGCCACCCTCTCCCAATATTATTGGGAGAGACCAAATGTATCCGCAGCAGGACTTGTTGCAGTTGGCGAGTCTGTCTCCATTTATATATCCTATGTGTACCTATATAATGCCTACTTGTGACCGGTTATTGGCTATAGTAAAGAATAAGAGATTGGGAGAACTACTTCGTGCATAAACGATCACGTAGTCGTGATCGTGATCTAGAGATCATTAATTATGACAACCCAAGAAAGGAGAATGTAATTGCACAGTTTGCATATTAAATGAACTGGTTTCCAATGAAAATCATAAGAAATAGACAGGGGTCAAGCTTCACATTTGAGATAGTGAAATCTGCAGTCTAGTCTACTTTGTTGATACGAAAAAGTTATTCTCAACCACCGGACATCAGGTCGGCTGTCATCATCATCCTCTTTCGAAATCACGGCCGGCTCAACCCAGAGTAACGGTTATCACGGGTAGTGTTAAGGCCGACTCTACAGTGATATAGCATACTATTTAGGCAAATTGTCACTAAATGGGAATTTTGTAAATAATTCGTAATTTTGTTAAACACGGCTAAACTTGTTTATACATACTGGTTTCATAATGACAGTAGAGCGTACAGGTAGATTATACGAACAAGACAATTTCATGGGTAGCATGCGAACGCATGATTCAATTTGCGCCAAATTTGGTACACATAATTTGGAAGTTCACAGCAACACATGTGGCAAGTTTCAAATTTCTAACTTTAAAAATGCGGCGAAAAATTTCCCCCAAAATGCAAGCGGTTTCCGAAGCTAATTTGGCCCTTCGCGGTATCCAAACGGTCATGGAAAAATCTGCAACTCATCTGGGTATACCACGAAATTCATACCCTTAAAAAAGAAGAATTCTGCCACCCTCAACAAAATTGACCGTCTCACTGATAAGGCGAATCCCCCGACCCAAAGAGAGATCGCAAAGCAATGCCAGATATCCAAGTATTACGTTAATACAATCATCCATCAAGATTTTGGAAAAACCGGGCAGAAGAAGGGAAAACTCCAGGCACTAAAACCATCTCATATCGCAAACAGAAAAACAAACATTAGGAGGCTATATGAGGGTCATCTTGCGGGTAAAAGGTCCGAATATGCCGTCACATTGGATGAGGCACTCTTCTTCGTTGAAGACTGCAACAGGTCAAGAGGAACTTGTTACACAAAGGACCGGAAACGAATATCAAACTATGAGTCCCAGAAAAAAGAAAAGTTGTCTGATCGATTCATGGTGATCGGTGCAATGACGGGCCGTGGGGTGATAAAATTAATACCTGTCAGGTCAAATGCTAATATTAACTTCAACTAATATGTGGACAATGTTTTACGAAAGTTGTTAGAAGTGGAAATTCCAGACAAGTACCCTGGGGAGTTGGACAAAATTTTAATCCATCACGACGCAGCATCGTCACATACTGCTAACTAAACCCAGCCGTACGCGCAAGATTTAAAAGCAAGAACCGGAATGACCTTGATATCTTGCTGGGAAATGCCTATTAAGTCACCTGACACCAGTCCGATGGATCTTTTTGGATTTGGATACCTAAAACAGTAGCTTTTTAAGAGGAAGGCATCAACTTTGGCTGGTCTTCGGAAACCGCTTTCACGGACTCTTCCACTTTAGTGTCAAATATCCGACTCATTTTTACAGGTGGAAATTTGAAACTTGGCACATGCGTTGCTGTAAACTTCCAAATTATGTGTACCAAATTTGGCGCAAATTGAATCATGCGTTCGCATGCTACCCATGAAATTTGTCTTGTTCGTATAATCTACGGACAGCCTCTGTAATCTAAAAACTTGATAACATATAAGTAAACGGGGAGTTGCAATCAATAATTGATTGCAACTTACAATGGAGGTCTCCCAACGTATGCTCACAGATTTGTACGAAACTGGTGTCAATCGATCACAAATTTAATTAGTATGAAATTTGAAAATGCAACTATCTTCAAATGCGCAGGTTTGGCGGAGATATTTGCATAAAAAGAGGTGAAAACTCGCAAATTTGTGAGGCAAAATTCGAAAAGTGTAAAATTGATGGCATTTTGGGCGCGTTTTCGCCTCTGTTTATGCAAATATCTCCGCCAAACCTGCGCATTTGCAGATAGTTGCATTTTCAAATTTCATACTAATTAAATTTGTGATCGATTGACACCAGTTTCGTCCAAATCTGTAAGCATACGTTGGGAGACCTCCATTGTTAGTAATTATTAGTAAGGACGAAAGTCTCACCACTGGTCTGACTCCGATTTCGATGCCCTTTACAAATGTTGTGGCCCTATGGGATCGTCCATATATTACGTCATCAGAAAATCGTGAAAAAACCACCCATCCACCCCAAAATCATCAATCGTCATCACTGCCAAAAAGCACCCACCCACCCCCTATGATGACGTCAACATATTAAATCTTAAAATCGTTAATCATTACTATAAAATTAATTATTCGCTCTTTAGTTTTTTTTAAATTTTAAGGGTAGAGAAATTCAGCTTTATTAATTAGTACATTTATAAGTAATATTTTGGTTTGGTTAAACTCGTTTCTAAATATTCTTAACATTTGTATTTTATA